AGATGAAGCACCAGATGTGTTCGAGGAAGCACCAGATGAAGCACCAGAAGTGTTCGAGGAAGTAGCAGATGAAGCACCAGAAGTGTTCGAGGAAGCACCAGAGGTGTTAGATGGAGTACCAGATGAAGCACCAGATGTGTTCGAGGAAGCACCAGATGAAGCACCAGAAGTGTTCGAGGAAGCACCAGATGAAGCACCAGAGGTGTTCGAAGAAGCACCAGAAGTGTTAGATGAAGTAGCAGAGCTACTAGAAGATGATGAGGAGGAGCTGGACTTGTATGGACATGCACCGCTTTCCACATCAGAAATCGAATAAACCCAGTCAGACCAGTTATCATGTAGAATAACGCCACTTGGAGTGATAGCTGTAATGTCTAATTCGGAGTCCAAAAGAATGTTGACTAAGACAATTCTCATTGGGTAGTATTGACCAGCCTCAAAATGAACATAAGCAGTGACATCATCACCAGTAGTGAAAATGAGAGCTCCGATATCAGAGTTGTAAGGAATTTCGTCAGGCTGGCAACATGAAAATGCGTAACTGTTGCCGAACCAGACCATGGCACCGTCATTAACGTTCTTGATGGTAAATGCATACAAACCACTTTCTTGAGCGTAAAAGTAACCAGTCAATTGGTTGACATAACCGAGACCACTGTTGATCTTCACATCGTTGTAGATAGTATCAGTATGGATACCACCATGGATAGAGTAGTTTGGACTGGAGATACCGTGGGCAGTACCAATAACAGACTGCTCAGTGTAACTGTTGGCATAATACTTCGAGTTATACACGTGACAACATTCGTATTTGAAAAATGTAGCATGGAAACCTTGAGTAGTGGAGACACGAGATAAGTCAAAATTGCAACCAGTTGCAGATGAGTTACCAGTCAAAACAGCATGGGAGTGGGTGATTGTGGTGGAAGAAGTAGTCTGACTAGCTGTAGCAGATGATGTAGTTGAGGACAAGTTTTCACTGGAAGCACCAGATGAGGCACCAGAAGTGTTAGATGGAGTACCAGATGAAGCACCAGAAGTGTTCGAGGAAGCACCAGATGAAAGC